GCAGGCATGGGCGCGGCGGCCGTCGCAAATAGCGTCCGAATAGAAGTCACGGTACCTCTCAAGATTCTTTCTCACGTTAACTCGATACTTTCCTGGAAGCGAACGAGGCAAGAGGTTCAATTCCACAGGATAGTCGTTTTNGAGTGAGCGAAAACATCTTCGCCTTCGAATGCGCCACCGCGTACCTCGCCATCGACGCAGGCATGGGCGCGGCGGCCGTCGCAAATAGCGTCCGAATAGAAGTCACGGTACCTCTCAAGATTCTTTCTCACGTTAACTCGATACTTTCCTGGAAGCGAACGAGGCAAGAGGTTCAATTCCACAGGATAGTCGTTTTTACGCCCGTGGTTGCATCAGCATTCCAATTTCATATCTTGTTGTCCCCGTGTGATTTTTCTTGATAACATTCCCCTATCATTATCTNTTTCTCACGTTAACTCGATACTTTCCTAGAAGCGAACGAGGCAAGAGGATCAATTCCACAGGATAGTCGTTTTGTACGCCCGTGGTTGCATCAGCATTCCAATTTCATATCTTGTTGTCCCCGTGTGATTTTTCTTGACAACTATTCCCCTATCATTATCAACGGCCACTGCTCTGCACCAGTGATTTCGTGCGGCTGGCCGCTGAACTGTCAAGAGTTCCAGGCAACCCATAGGTCATGTGTGTACCGTTGTGTCCTTTTCACGCTTGCCGAGGTTCGCTCTTGCTCCTGCTCGGTTGGTTTCCATATTCCACATCTTCACAAGTCAAAGTAGCAAACGACGTCATCTGCACATGTCCACCCTACCGTCTACGCGAACGTAGTTGTTCGACATTACCCGGTGTAACCCTATTGGTGGCGGGTTTATTCAGGAGCACTGTACCATGTCACACAGATGTCTAACGATGTAGCACAATAGCGAGCCTGACAACCCTGTCTCCAGACTCCTACGTGGAAGTTTGTAAGTTTGTTTTGTGAGTACTCGTACGTTTCTCAGTCTGATGACTGAAGGCTGAGGTATGAATGAACGTGATTCACTCCACTGACACCTACCGACATACTTGTACGTTTCAATTGTGTCATCGTGCAAATAGGGACCGAGGAGGACGTCCAACGGCTGCTCCCGGGCTGCAATGTGCGTTGGCTGATGCCATGTTGAACAAGCGACCCTGGCCACTGAATACCAGCACCTTGAGCAAAGCAAGAAGGCCGAAGGTTGGATGATTGTGGTCTCAGGGTGTTGTCCCCTTGCACTTTCCTCTTTGGACATTGTGGACCGGACGGCACGTATTCCATACGTGCCGACGAATGTAAGTTCGTGAGTACCGAATGGCGTTTGGAAGCGGTATAGCCCATGTGCTTGGGGAGAAGGTTGAGAATCTTCTGTCCGTGCTCGTCCTTTGCTTTTAGTCTGTCATTTTCTGTTTTTTTGTTTCAGATGCGAGCTTGTTTCGTGTGCTTGCGCGTTTCCCTCGACGTGTCACGTGGGTAGCCTAGGAGTGATGACCAGGCATAAGTTGCCGAATATTCTATTCGCAAGCTTGGCACGGTCAACATTGCCCTTGTCCCGGTTTGCTTCCGCTCAAACGTGCCAGCAGCATGAGAGAAATGAGGTGTATATGTTTTTTCAGCTATTTTCATAGATTGCTTGTGTTCATTCTTAGCCGCTAGTCCCCCTGCCGTTGGTTTCCTTTCGTTTATTGAGCGGAAACCTGCGAATGAAATTTCCTCGTTTCGTTAGCTGCAATCACCTCATCCGGTTTTCGAGTTATGACTTCGGAAGGGTTCCTATGAACTTTACTACACGTCTTGGTTGTCTGCTTCCAGTGCACGCAGTCGACGGGTCATTCGGTGTGCTTGTCGAAGAATGTGGAGAAAATGTTTGCTTGGTTTATGGCATCATAAATGTACATGCTGTCGGCGGGCCGCCTCCATGGTGCCTTCGTT